TAAGCTTCCCTCAATCTGATATGTTACCCAATCTTTGAGTGGAGAATTGGGCAGTCTTGCATGAGATCCTGGTTCCTGTCTACCTTAAGTAATTATACCTAACTAGTCAGTGTAACCTGTGCTCATTGCTATTGTGCAATGAAGTACCTCTTATTCTGTAAGACAAATGGCTATTGTTGTTTACACCAGTACTGGGGAAGGAGGGAGCTATTCTTATGGGACAGGCTTCACCTGACTAACGCTGGAACTGGAGTAGTGGTGAAGCACATAATTAGGGCTGCGGACTTTAAACTAAATTGGGGGTGGGAGGTGGGGGGGTTGTTGGAGTGGAGCAGAAAATTACCCACAAAGGTAAATGGGAAAAGGACTCAGAAGAGGTTACTAATGTTTCCAGAACAAATAATAGGATAGACAGTATGGAAACGGTCAGTAATCTAACTTCAGGCACAGCAAATAAGGGGACAACTATGAGAAGGGCGGGTGATCAATGCAGGACTGAGAGCATTGTACTAAAATACACGCTGCATATGAAACAAGGCGAATGAGCTTGTAGCACAGATTGAAAGTGGCAGATATGATATTGTGGGTATCACAGAAACATAGCTGTAAGGGGATCAGAGGTGGGAACTAAATATCTGAGATGCGCGCTCTATCGAAAGGGCAGGCAGATGGGCAGAGGGGATGAGGTTGCCTTGTTAGTAAGAAATAAAATTAAACAAATAGCAAGGAGCGATATAGATATGGAAGCCATAGAATTTGTGTGGGTAGAATTGAGGAAATGCAAAGGAGAAGGGACCATGATGGGAGTTATGCACGGGCCTTGTAGTAGTAGTCAGAATGTGGGGAAGAAAATAAATCAAGAGATAGATAAAGCATGTAAGAATGGTTCTATTATAATAATCATTGGGGACTTCAATATGCAGGTGGACTAGGAAAATCAGGTTGGTAGCAGATCTAAAGAAAAGTAATTTGTGGAAAGTCTACAAGATGCTTTTTTGGAGCAGCTTGTCATAGACCCCACTAGGGAACAGGCAATTCTGGATTTGATGATGTGTAATGAGGCACACTTAATTAGGGAGCTTAAAATGAAGGAACCCCTGGGGGCCAGTGACCATAATATGATAGCATTCACACTGCAGTTTGAGAGGGAGAAGCTGGAATCAACTCTAATGCAATTAAAAATGAGTAAAGTTAAGTACAAAGACCATGAGGGAGGAGCTGGCCAGAGTTGATTGGAACAGAGCCTAGCAGGGAAGACAGTACAGCAGCAATGGCAGGAATTTCTGGGGATAATTCAGGAGGCACAACAGAAATTCACCCCAAGGAAGAAGAACCAAGGACCATTCCCTTCGCCACTCCTTAGTTCACACCACACTCCCTACCAACCACTCCAACTCACCCAGTATCTTTCCCTGTAACCATAAAAGATGCAACATCTGCCCACGCACCACCTCCCTCACCTCCATCCAGGGCCCGAAACAGCCCTTCCAGGTGAGACAGAGCTTCATCTGCATCTCCTCCAACCTAGTCTACTGCATCCAGTGCTCCCAATGTGGTCTTCTCTACGTCAGTGAGACCAAATGTAGACTAGGTGACCGTTTCGCTGAGCATCTTTCTCTGGCCCATAATGGCCAGCCTAACCTCCCGGTCACTGCTTATTTCCTGCCCCACTCCCCCTCCGACATGTCTGACATTGGCCTCCTTCAGTGTCACAGTGACTCAGGACGCAAATTTGAAGAACAACACCCTATCTTCCGCCTGGGCACCCTACAACCTAGAGGACTCAACATTGAGTTCTCCAATTTCAAATAATCTTCCCACCCATCCCCCACTTCCTCCCTTCCATTCCACCTTCTGACCCTCCCTTCCAGCCACCAACCAGATTCGTCCATCCCATTGACCAACCACATTGTACTTACTACCAGTATCTACCCCGCCTCCCCTTCTGTTTATCTGCAGCTCCCCCTACCCCCACATCCAGTTCTGAAGAAGGGTAATACCCAAAACGTTGACTTCTCCTTTCCTCCAGATGCTGACTGGCTTGCTGTTTTCTTTCAGCCTCCTGTTGGTCCAGCTTCTGCAGTTTTTTTTTTGTCTCTGAGGCAAACATTGCTGAGAAGGCAAATTAGGGCCAACATAAAAACAGAGAAAAAACATACGATGTGGTGAAGATCGGTTGGAAGCCAGAGGATTGGGAAACCTTTAAAAACCAACAAAAGGACAACTGAAGAAACAATAAACAGGGAAAAGATGAAATATGAGAGTAAGCTAGCTAGTAATATATAAAAAGTTTGCAAGAGGTTTTCTGGATGTGTAAAGGGTAGAGAGAGAGAGGCAAGTGCAGACATTGGACTGCTGGAGAAGTAGCAATAGGAACAAAGAAGTGGCGAAGGAACTGAACTGGTACTTTGCATCAGTTTTTGTAGTAGAAGACACCAGTAGCATGCTAGAACTCCAAGAGAGTCAGGGGTAGAAGTGAGTGTAGTGGCCACCACTAAGGAGAGGCTGCTGGGGAAGCTGAAAAGTCTGAAGGTGGAATTGCTGGAGTCGGGGTGAGGTTCCCAGAGGACTGGAAAATGGCTAATGTTACATGCCTGTGGAAATTATAGGCCAGTTAGCCTAACCTTGTAGTTTGGTAAGATTTTAGAGTCCATTATTAAAGGTGAGAGTGCAGAATACTTGGAGGTACATGATAAAATAGGCCCGCGTCAGCACGGCTTTGTCAATGGGAGGTCATGCCTAACTGTTGGAATTTTTTGAGGAGGTAATGAGCAAGTTAAGCAAAGGAGAGTCAGTGGACATGGTCTATTTGGATTTCCAGAATGCCTTTGACAAGGTGCCGTGCAGGAGCTGCCCAATAAGATAAGATCCTGTGGTGTTAGAGGCAAGGTACTGGCATGGATAGAGGATTGGCTAACTGACTGGCAGAAGGCATAGAATTCAGATGGTAGCTGGTGACTAGTGGAAACCCACAGGGTCTGTGTTGTGACCACATCTATTCACATTATACATTAATGATCTGGACAAAGGAATTGAGGGCATTGTTGTATCATCTGCAAACTTCACAAAGATAGGTGGAGGAACAGGTAGTGTTTAGGAAGTGGGGAGGCTGCAGAAGGGCTTTGGATAGGCTAGGCAAGTGGGCAAGGAAGTAGCAGATGAAATACAATGTGGGAAAGTGTGAGGTTGTCACTTTGATAGGAAGAATTTTTCTTAATGGGCAAAAGCTTCAGAAATCTGAAGCACAAAGGGACTTAGGAGCCCTAGTTCAGGATTCTGTTAAAGTTAACGTGCGTGTTCAGTTGGCAGGTGGAAGGCCAATGTAAGGTTAGCATGCATGTTGTGACGGTTAGAATACAAGAACAGAATTTACTGCTGAAGCTGTGTAAGGCTCTGGTCAGACTATATTTGGAATATCACGAGCAGCTTTAGGCCCCGCATCTAAGGAAAGACGTGCTGGCATTGGAGGGGGTCCAGACACCGTATGCAAGAATAATCTTGGGGATAATGGAGGAGCAGTTGAGGACTGTGGGTCCAGAGGGTGCCAGAGGGTAGTGAACCTGTGGAGGCTAAGTCATTGAGCGTATTTAAGACAGAGATAGATAGGTTCTTGATTAAAAACCGAAAGAACTGCGGATGCTGTAAATCAAAAACAGAAGTTGCTGGAAAAGCCCAGCAGGTCTGGTAGCATTTGTGAAGAAAACAATCAGAGTTAACGTTTCCTCCTGAGGAAGGGTCACCAGACCCAAAATGTTAACTCTGATTTTTTTCTTCACAGATGTTGCCAGACCTGCTGAGCTTTTACAGTGACTTCTGTTTAGGTTCTTGATTATAAGGGGATAAAAGGTTACAGGGAGAAGGCAGGAAGATGGAACTGAAAAACATATCAGCCATGATAAAATGGGGGAGCAGACTCAATGGGCTGAATGGCCTAATTCTGCTCCCACATTTCATGGTCTTATCACCTTGCTGATAGTTACATATATCCTTAGACTCATACAGAAAGGAGGATTGGTGGCAGCACTATATCTCAACCATGCAGAGCCCAATATGATGATGAGATGATAGGAGCAGGAGGGAACTTCAGTTCAGCCAAAGCCAGCTGAAGCCAATGACAAGCCACTACAACACCTTGTCAAGCATGAACATGGACCAGCATGTGGAAATCTACTGTCAGTACAGTAATCTCAGCGCATGATACCTGATGGAGGGAGAGGGAATGTAAGACAGAAGTTGCTCATCTCTGTTCACCATTTTAAAAAAAATTGTTCATCGGATGAGAACATTGCTGGCTAAACTTGCATTTACTCATCCCTAATTGCTCAGAGGGTCAACCACATTGCTGTGCGTCCGAAGTCATATGTAGGCCAGACCAGGTAGGATTGCAGATTTCCTTCCCTAAAGGACGTGGGTGAACCAGATGGGCTTTTACAACAGTCAACAAAAGTTACACCGTTGCCATTAGGCCAGCTCTTTTTCCAGATTGTTATTGAATTCCAATCCCAGCATCTGCCATGATTTGAACCCCTGCCTCCAAAGCACTGGCCTGGAGTTCTGGATTGCTAGTTCAGTGACATTCCCACCGTATCACTGCCTCCCCTGCATCAGGCTAGAGACAGGCCTTTCTGATCAAGAGAACAGTTTTTAAAAGACATGCTACCTTGCATATCACATTGCTGTCTTTTTTAAGTGAAAAATATTATTGGTGAAACTGAGTAGACAGCAAATAGTAATGAAATTGACCGCAAAATACATTAGTTGGTTGTAAATTGATGCAGCTTGATGAGGATGACCTCAGTTGATGTGTGTTCCATTTTCACCGTGATGGAATTTCCCTTTGCAATTATCCTGTACCAAACAATCCCCAGTGTACCAGAATCACCATATTACATGCAGTTCCTTGTTACAAATTCATTTTTTAGTGTCAGTGCTCCAGCCTACTTTAAGAATTCTAACAACTGATCCCTTATGCTTTTTCTTCATTTTTTTTCCCTCAAAAGCTTGCTTGCTACAAGCGGAACTAGTGAACTATGAACGAGTAAAGGAATATTGCCTCAAAGTCCTGAAGAAAGAAGGGGATAATTTCAAGGCCCTGTATCGTTCTGGTGTGGCTTATTATCATCTCGGAGATTATGATAAGGCGTTACATTACCTGAAGGAAGCAAGGAACCGAGAGCCAACAGGTGAGCTATTTCCCACTTTACCCTGTGAAAAGGTGGGTGTCAAAGTGCACATTGTGTGTGTGTGTGTGTGTGTGTGTGTGGACATATACACAGTTAAGCATCTTGTTCATTTCGATTGATGGTCGTAGCATGTTCAAAACGAACAGCATTTCTTTTTTCCCAAACAAAAGGAAAATTTGCACTCTATATATTTCATATGAAACTCTGAGTTAAGAATCTAACATGTTATATGCTTGCTTTAGCTGACTGCTGGAGAACTACTGCCTTTTAATATTATTGTTTTATCTGATATTGCATTGTAAGAAAACTGGTGCATTACTTTGTCATCCCTGAGTTCAAGCAAGGATGTGACTTGGTGGTGAAAGGTGTATAATTTATCATTTTAGAAGCTGCATTTTAAAATAGAGACAAAGGAATTTTATTGAGTCCTGTGAAGGCTTTTGATTTAAAAGACTAAGATCTGGCATGTGCTGCCTTGGATTGTGGTGGAGACACGTTCAAGCCATGACATTCAAGATGGAGTTGGATTATTATCTGAAAAGGAAAAATATGCAGGGTTATGGTTGGGGGTAGAGGGGAGCAGTGGGAGGCTGTTAGCAATAGATGAATTGCTCTGCACAGACATAGTCACACAGCATGGAAACAGACCCTACTGTCCAACTCCTCCATGCTGACTAAACTAGTCCCATTTGCCAACATTTTGCCTACATCCCCGCAAACCTTTCCTATTCATGTACCTGTCCCAATGCCTTTTAAAGGTTGTAATTATACCCACCACTTTCACTTCCTCCAGCAGCTCATTCCATAAATGAACTGCCTTGTGTGTGAAAAAGATGCCCCTCAGGTCCCTTTTAAATCATAGAATCAAATCCCCACAGTGTGAAAACAGACCATTTGGCGCAACACATCCACACCAACTCTCTGAAGAGCATCCCACCCAGACTCAACCCCCTAACCTATTCCTGTAACCTTGTATTTCCCATGGCTAACCTACACATCTCTGGACCTTATGGGCAATTGACCATGGCCAATCCACCTAACCTACACATCTCTGGACTGTGGGAGATAACCAGAGCACCCACAGGGACAATGTGCAAACTCTACACAGACAGTCACCCGAGGGTGGAATTGAACCTGTATCCCTAGCGCTGTGAGGCAGCAGTGCTAACCACTGAGCCACTGTGCTGCCTCTTTGAACTGATTTTTTTTAATATTGCTTAGACCATGCTTAATAACATCCTTGTACTAAATCTTTTCCTTTTCACCTTAAACCTATGCCCTCTGGACTGAATGGCCACCTTCTTCTCTGTAGCATGAACATAGAAAATAGGAACAGAAGTAGGCTGTTCGGCCCCTTTTTTGAGTCTGCTGTATCACTCAGTGTGATCATGGCTGATCATCCAACTCAGTACCCAGCTCCTGCTTTTGCCCCATGACCCAGTCACCCAAAGAACTGCACCTAACGCTTTGAAAACATTCAAAGTTTTGGTCTCCATTACTTTCTGCGGCTGCCAATTTCACAGGCGATTCTGTAAGTAGTGAGAGGGCAATCCGGGAGGTAATATCTCTAAGGTAAGTAGATTGAGACAATTGGAATCAACTCATTTTGTTACGAGAAAATGTTATTTCTGATCGTTCTGATTAATTTTACACATCATTGATGGATCTAACGTGCATCTTGGGCTTTGCAATTCTTGGTGTGATACCACAGTGACACAATGATCAAGTAGTGAAGGTTATGAGCAGCATTGTTCCTTTCTTAATGATGCCAGAACAAGCACCACATCGGGCATCTATGTTCTATCTGGTGATGGGCTGATATTCTTAGAATATAAAGCAGGCTAGCTAGGAACAACTGATGAGTGTGCAGCTTTAAGACCATGCAGCAGATCAGCAGCCTCTACTTTAACTGGGTAACGTCGCAGAAATAGTTTGAAATCGTTGAAATCAATTCTTTTTAGTGCAAGAAGATATGTTATCTTTGATTGTTCTGGGCAATTTTACACAATATTGAGGGAACTGATCTTGGGTTTCACCAGCCTGTCACAATTACTCTGAATTTGATATTAAGATAATGTAGTGCCGTGACCAAGCCATCACTATTCAATACACCAGATCTCAGTGGAATATATTCAATAATCAGTAGGTTTCCAAATACAGTAATTTCTCAAAATTAACATTTGTACTGCAGATGTTAAATTAAAGAGTTTTTGGTTACTCATCTAATTGTTTCTGGAGTCTAGACCAGGAAATGTATGATTAATAAGTTTAACTGGAGACAAACTACATTCTAAATGTTGCTGAATTGTAACTGAACACAATGCTCATCCACAGAACCTCTCAAATTTGTGTCTGTAGAGGGGCAAGAGTTGAGTCAGTTCTCTATGTAGAATAGAATAAATAAGTGCATGAAGTCACAACTGATCCTTGATAGTCAATAAATCTTCTCAATTTCCGTACCTTTTGTTAGTGATCTTTGTCCAATCCCAAACCCAGCAGGAGTTACTGAAGCCCTGCTGTATCTTTTCGATTGAGTTCCACACTTGGTTACAAGTTTGCTTACACGCAGCAGTAACTGGTTTTTCATATGTAATAGGGAGCATTTAGGTTGGTTGTGAGGTTAGTGTTAACAATCTGAATCCTGACCTTTGACCCTCCACTCCACCCACTTCTGATTTGACAAAAGGCTAGAAGGGGGCGTCAAGTGACTAACTCTGTGCCCAGGAAGTGAGGTAATTGGCAATTTAAAGCCGAATAATGAGGTTGTGGGGCATATATTTATCATTTCGCACTTTTTATTCTGGCCAGGAAATCCACTGGCTAAAGTAAGTTCAAGTCTGCTGGTTCTGAACGTATGTGGCTTTCTACTGAGCTGCTGGATCCAGTGTAGCTGGCATCAGGCTTGCTACAATCAGACAGCTACTCCATCCCAATCTTTCCAATCTCCCCAAAGAGCCTCCAATTTCACCTCACCCTCTCACTCCACACTAGAAATCCGTGCTCCCTCTGAAGTGTTCTGACCTCAATATCCACAAACTCCCTCTTCCACCACTTCTCCAAGCCTCCAATACCCTTAATAAAGTCCAAAGACACCCTCCATCCAGGCTGCAATCCCTGATGCTTCCAATTTCCCGACCACCTCCATACATCCTCCTGGGATCGGACATTCTACCCGCACCTCCCCAACCTCCCACCACCCACCCATCTCAGGGCTCAAATCTACCTGATCCCATGATCTCCTTTGCAGCTAACCCCACTCCACTGGAAACTAAATCTTTCAGGAGATCAAAAGAATTAAAACTCCCTGGCCACTCTGAACACCCCCGGCCCCCTGAAAGATAAACAAAGGTTTGCCCCATTAACCTCGTGAATTGATCGAAATCCATGCAGGGTAGGAAAGCTCAGGTTCAAACCCTTGATTGTGCTTACTCATCTGATCACAATAGGGATGGCTTGGGAGGTCACACAACTGATTGTATTCAGGAAGGAGAAAAATTAGTGAGGGCATCCTTGAGACTTGAACTTTGATGAAACACATAAGAGGGAGGAGCAATCCCCTTGAATCTGTTCCATTCTCCACCGTTCTAGATTATCTACCTCAAAGCCATATTCTCGTGCTTTCCCAATATCTCTTGGTGCCATTAGTAAGTAGTAATCTATCAATCTCTCTCTTGAGCTAACTTAATGTCTGAGTTCCACAGTTTTGCTGGTTACTACTTAAATCAAGTCGCTGAAGTCTTACCAGGCCATAGCGTTCCTCTCTCACTTGAGAGAGATGACTGATGGTGGCTTAATCTGAGGGCCACCATACCTCAGGTGGGGGCAGAGAGGTTGAGAAGGAGAGTCCTTCGGGGTAACCTCAGTCAGTGTGGGAATTGAACCCACACTGTTGTCATCACACTGCTTTGCAAACTAACCATCCAGCCGATTATGCTAACTACCTCTTAATACCTTACCATTGTCACTCTAGCTCAGCAGCAACACAATACATTAACTTGCAGCTATTACAATTCAGGGACTCAAACTGGAGGGTTTTAAATAGTTTACTTATCATCTGTGGGGAATAACACACAATTTTACTTGTAGCTACTTCTGTCCTTGACAGTCTGCACAACTCACTGAATCTTTAATCCTAAAAATACAATTGTAATGTTTGAATTTGTGACTGCTTAGAGGCTGCCATCTGAAAGTTCAGAGATCCCAGATTCTCCCTTTTCTTTTCATCTGCAGGAAATTGTTTGCCAAATAATTCAGGTTCTTTTTTTGTTCAGACAAATTTGGCTGAGCACTTCATCTCTCTATAGCATTCCTCAGGCACACATTGTCACACAGTTACTGCAGAAGGGAAGAAACAGCATTAACCATCTAGATGAAACAATTACAAACTGTGATTTATGATCAGTTAAACTAGTTGATCCCGGTTGCTGGGCAGTTCCTATATCTTATGGTCTTATCCTTGTAATACCAAGATCACAAAAAAAGGCAAAAATCAAATTTTTGACCCTCCACGGTGCTGCCAGGCCTCCAGTCTCTCTTTCTCTCTCTCTCTTTCTTGCTTTCTTGCTTTATTTCTTGCTTTCTTTCTATCTATCTCTGCTCCCCTGTCCTGAGTCTCGGCCTACTGCCTCTAGGTCCTGCTGTTGCTCTGGGTCTCGCTCGCTTTCTTCCTTGCTGCCTGGTGATTTCTGGCCTCTCCCTGGCCAGTGTTACCATCTTCGCAGCTCCCTTACCATTTCTTACCACAGATAAGTGCCACTAGACTACTTTTTTCAGGACTTGTACTGAATCTGTCTCCTCTACAGCTGCACGTCCCTTGTCCCTGCAAGTGTGAGTGAGTGTGTGTGTGTGAGTGCTTGCGTGTGTGAAAGTAGGTGTGAGAGAGGCTGGTCAGGGGGGATGGGTGGCCACACATTTGCAACAGGTTCATCAGGCCTTATCTCTCCAAATGTTTTCTGCTGAATGGACCTTTATTTGGCAGGCACCAGGGATTATCCTTCATT